TAAACTTACTTTATTTCAGGAATGTTTTCCTATGAATTATCAGTCTTTTTAATTAATTAGTTAATCCCCTTCATTTCTTTACTCAATTTTTCACAAAACTCCTTTGTTTCCTTTTCCCAATATTGCTGCGTCATTTCCAACCTCTTCAACTAAGAATTTTTCTATATATTCCATTCATCCAATTGTTTTCCTATAATAATTTAGACTAACTTTTCTAATTCAGTATTGGTCAATTCTAAAGGATTTACATTGTTAAAATTCAAATAAGATGTCTCTTGATTCTCTATCAGATCATATATCTGTTTTATTGAGTCTGTCATTTCATCCCAAATTTCTTTTAACATTTTAAGAGTTGAAGACAGCATTGATTTAAAATTCATTCTCTATTTACTTTACTCTTAGGAGCCAACAAACTTAAATTCTTGTAATTTCTTCATCACCATATCTTAAAATTTTTTCCTTGATACTATTTATTTAACATCCACTCCATGATCATCTTGGCATTCTGGACAAAGCTTCCTTTAGCATTAACATTTGTGAGGAGCTATACATATTATTGATACTTGATTTTGAATATGATGAGTGCAATTCATAATCCTTTTAAAAATATTATTGAATTTCTATTACTTTATTTTGAGTTTTATACCACGAATCAAAAATGTATCTTGCACATTATTGTTTGGAAGAAATTCAATATCACAAAGATTTAGGGTTGATGTAAATTATACTATGGAAAACTTACATAGACTTTTGCATGATTGGATTCTGAAAGAATATAGAATGAAAAAATACAAATAATTCAAAACACTAATATATTATTTAATCATTGAGAATTTTTAAGTTAATGATTCTATTTATTTTAATTCATAATTGTTCAAAAATATAAATACAAAGAAGTTACTTCTATTTGATTTAAGACTAAACAAAGGAAGAATACGAAGTGCAAATTGTACCAATTTTTATACATCCTTTACACCACTTCTCTATAGAAATCGTATGTAGGCTCTAAAATATTGACTCCATTTCTTTCATCCAAAAAGTATTTATTAATTCACCCCATCTCAAATTAGTTAAGAAACATACAGATCTTCATTTGGAATTAGTGTTATTAATTAAGGATTAATTATACATTTCCTAAGATTGTTTCGTCCAGCCTTTTGTGAAGAGGGTTTCTCATTAAGATTTTATTTACAAGGATTGAAATAAATTGATAAAAACAGTTGATTTTAAATGAGTTTTGGTTTGTTAATTATTCAGTCTCCTTAGCAATAATAAATAAAGCACTTAATCCGAACAAAAGATTAGCTTCAATATACAATTCTTACACTATGTAACTATAATATTATAGTACTAAATTGACAATTGAGAGGTTAGAGGCACAACATGTTACAACCTTTTGGATATCTAACATGGAAAAATTTGTAGTAATTATCATTAAATAGAGAAGCAAACCTAGCATTTAAAATAGAACAAGAACTATACTTTAAATTTAACAATATAAATATAATATGCATATAATATCTGAAATAGTCCATAATAAATTATACTCAAGTTGAATCTATCTTAATTAATACATAATTTGTAAAGATTCTAAAAATTAGAGTTTAAATTTATGGCTATAAAATGATTGTATTGACATTTTAATTTTGAAATCTAATATCTCGTGACAAGGTGTTTTGATAATTTGTTTGTATTTTATTCTAGATTCATAAGTTTCTTAGTTTTGTTACTATGATAAATTATTATCAACTCTTCATAATTAATATGGGATTGTTTGAA